ACTCTTTCCTCTTGGGAGTGCCCCTCCTGAACTGCATGCTTGCTAGTGACAGCTTAGACCCCTGATACATAACCAAAGACCTTGCCTAATATCCTTGCAACTGCTCGGGGAATTTTTATTAAGTAAAAGCATCATTAAAGTAGACAGAATGATGAAGTTTAATGAGCATCTTTCTCACTTGATATTGTTAGTTTTGCTGCAGCAGCCATAGTGCTCTCATTTGTTACTTCCAGCGGGGCAGATAGAGAATGCAGGGAGATTTTGCTTGTGTTTGTATTTGCATACAAAGAAACATTTAATGTTCATGAGAGATATTTGCTTTGAAAAATGTATACAAGGAAAGAAAGCAACTGGAAATCTCTATGTGAGGGCTTTCTGCATTTTCAGTCTTGCATTTAATCTCTCCTTTCACTTTAACGTAATGAGAAGGCTGCATGCAATACTGTAGCTGCTAAATCTACAAAGGTTCAGCAACTCGTGAACTGTGTTTATAATAACTAACTTCTGACTGCTGCTGCAAACCGCGAACATCTCAAATGTTTATTTGCACTACAGATTTTATTATTCAGCTGAGGTTTTGTTCTGCGAGCTGTGTGTAGTGTCCTACTCAGACCTATACCAGTCCCATGAACAGGTAACATTCCAAAATATCAAGTGTGAAGGTGCTGCCACGGATGTAATATCAGCACTTATCTCACAAATCTGCCTCGAAACAGTAGTCACAATCTGCCTCAATATTCCTTTGTATATTTATGGACACTGTCTGCCTTCACTAAGGGTCTGGTCATACGCACAGGTACGTCAAGGTGCCATGTCCTAGTACGTTACCATCCATCAGCTGAGCTGCGTACCTTTGTGCCTGTCTGAAGCTCACCTCCGCTGCCGAGGACGGTGTGCGAGTGTCTCTGCCTGACACGTTTGACTTCGCAGTGATGCCGGAGCAAGAGCATGTACACAGTTAGTTACTAAGCTTGGCTGACAGACGGTGACGTGCAAGCTATGGTTTCCGCGGCTGTATCCTTCCAGTAGGTATCAAAATCATTAAGGACTGTACATGTAAACTCCACATCTATTATAGCCAAGGGATTATAGGTTCTCATGTAATTCAGATAGTTGCTTCTCCATGCGGATCAGCTCCTTAGGTTTTTTTTTCTTTTGGGTGTTTTTTTCTGTTCTTTTTTTTTTCCTTGGGAGCTATAAACGTGGTGTCTGTTGCTGCACCAGAAGTTCACTGAAAATTGTGAATTCTCTTTTCCCTAGTCTAACAGAAGGGAAATTCTGTCCCAGAGGCATTATCACAGTCATTATTGTATTTAAATGTTGTCGTGACACCATATGTCTCCTCATATTTGATGTGTGCAAACACAAGAGAGAGTCCCTGTCTGTGAAGGCTTGTATAATCTAAATACGTCTGATCCCTGCTCTTTGCGTAGCAGACTACTGTGATAGACTGTAAGGCACTTATCTTCAGTTGAGATATCAATGTGCAGCTGAAACCTCCTTGAAATTTTGCCAGAGAAATCTAAGTACATATATTTGATTTGCTTATTTCAAAACCAGTAATTATTTTCCTGGATGAAACTTCAGTGCACATGCCAGTAGAAGTGGCTGTACATGAGAATTAAGCAAAAAGAATGTAAAAGTGCTGCAGATGCCTGCAACTCATGCACATCTGCTACTACTACTAACACAGTATTTGCATGGGGCGGAGGGAATTGCTGGGGCACCAGTATCACTGCATATCATAAGGAGCAAGTATCAAACAAAAACTGCTACCAAAAACACTTAAAGATCAATCAGGATTTTTACTGCTGGCACTTGCTCATTTTGCAGTCAAAAGGCATTGCCCAAGTAGACTTTACCAGAACTCTGAAGTTCGCTCAAAATTGTCAATATTCAGTTTCTGCACTTCAAAAGCATCTGTGTCATCAGTAGAATTCCCACCACACCCGTTTGCTTCAGAAGAAGTTCACTAATCTGAGCTCTGCCAGTCCACAAACTTGAGCATTTGCACTGAGAAAGCAGGAAATGAGAGTCAGAATGAATGCCAAAAGTGTCATCTGAGATGGAAATTCATATCAAGTTTCCAAAGCAAAAAAGTGGAGCCTAAACCAAGCTGAGCAAAAAAAGGGTATGTAACACCTGGAAACCACTAAAGCTGTTACAGTCCTTTCTGGGTTGGCACTAATGGGGCAAAGGAGCTGTGGGGCAGCAGGAGGTGGAAGGCAGGAGAGGGACAGGGGCTTTCTGTTTGTTGTACTCTGATACAGTGAATCAGTGGATTTGCTGTTAATTTAGTGCTTAAAGTCCCAAATGGGGACTTTCTTATAATAAGAAAAACCCTCACATTCTACTCCAATGTAGCATTATTTCTCTAGAGCCAAACAACAACTTGAATGTTAATTTAGTATTTAACTAACTATTGGTGTTCACAGATTTCAGCATGCATTTTCACTTCTCTTGCTAACTTCTCAGAGTTAGGAAATCATTGCTGACAGTGGTTGAAACGCTACACTTTGTATCGCTGACAACAAGGTGCTGCTTGTCCCCTGATGACTTCTACCCTGGATCGGTCTCTGATGGGACAACCTCCTTGAATGACACTTGTGTGCTCCTCTACAATGCTAGTAGCTCCTGATAGCAAAACGTCTCTTTCCACATCTTCCCTTCGTCAACTCACTTAATGCCTTCCAAAACAGGACAGTTTATTTAAGATGGATATTTGATTAGTAAGCATACTGTGTACTTGGATAAAATATAGCCTTATGCTATTGGGGCTGTATCTCTTATGAAAAGAAAAATATGTGTATTGTAGCTAATAGTAAGCATGTAGTTATCACGAGGGTCAGGGCTCCCTGCGTATGTCAGGAAATGGCGTCTGATCCCTTGTTGACAGTAGGTGATGGCACACAAAATTTCAGTAAGGTGAAGTAATGTCATCATTTACAGTTGTATTTTCCTTGAGCAAGGCTGTTTTGGGTACAGAGCATCTGGACAGTAGCCTGTTGAGCAGCATGATGTAAAACTACAACTGCTGAGGAGATGAAAGCGAGCACTGCCTCTAAGAAGCTCTAATCCCATTCCACAATCCAGGAACCCCAGGGCTGAAGTATCCTCCAGATGCAGCAAAATAAAGCTCAGAGCAGGTGGCAGCTTTTAACCTCCCAACTCCCTCCCAACTCCGTAATTTAGCTAAAATTTTTTTAGCTAAAATCTCTCAGTATCTGACATAAATAGCCCCTCCACAGCCATGCCTTATAGCAAGGTAATTCAAGAGTATTTCTGTCTGTTTGGATCCTTGTTCAATGTCTCTTGCATACAGTTGACTGCATAGTCTACCAGGCCCTGTAGAAGAAGGAGGGTGAGTCCTCTGCTGAAATTAGTTTCAGCCTGAAAAGCAGAAGAGATCCCTGTAAGTAAAGAGTCACTTTATCTCCAAGGTACCTGCTCAGGTTGATATCCATTGTAGAACTGCGTATCAAGTCATGCTTTCTGGATAAGCAACAACATATCGTGAGTAACTAAGTCTGTCCCGACATGACTAAGCAAAAGTAGCTAAAGGATCTGTGCAAGGGCTGGAGGGACATGCAAGCTACGTACGTGGACTGCAGCGGGGGAGAGTGCATGCGAAGGCGTGTGCGATGGACCAGTGCAGCTCTGGGACCTTCGCTTGCCGCACACATGAAAGTGCAGGACCCGGGTTCTGTGGCGACAGAGCTGACAGCTACCCATCCAGATTTTGACACATCAAAAGGCAATTCTAGGAAGACTCGACCCTAGATCTGTCCTGTTTCTTGACAAAGTCCACCAAAAGATGGAGTTGCAGTGACCCAAGCAGGTGCAGTGACACGACGAATGCTCTTGTGGGAACCGGTGCCGTTATCTTCTTCAGCAGCAGAATTCCTATCAGGTGGTAGAAATTGATGTCCAACTTGACTGGCAACAGCCCAGCACGGGATTGGGGCTGACACTCACCAGCATCGGGCTGAAGTATTATCAGGGAGACATCTTTCAGAGGGATCTCAGTATTTCTGTCATCATTGCCAGTGTTTATACAGCTGAACGAGCAGAAACAAAGCTCATCTCTGTTCCCTTCTAGAGACACTGACACCCCCACAAAATACATCTTCAAAAAGCACTTTATGTCAATAAGGGAAGTTAAGTTTGAGCTGTGTTTATTTTGGGTAGGCTTTTAATTTAGTTTAATCAGGATTACTCATAAATTATCTATTAATTACTATGTGATATTTAGCAAGATCCTCTCAGCCATGTAGTCTATTTAGCTTCGCTGTGAATGCTAGCCATCTTAATTGTAGGATACTTTGTCAACATTTAATCAGTGGTACTTACTAACGTGGCATTGATGTGTTGGTAGCTGTCCCAGTACTATCAATCATGTGTGAGCAGCGAAGGCGGCTGTGACACCATTGGTCTCTGTCACATTATCAAGCCCTCAGGTTTTCTGGTTAGGGATGATGCTCACTTTGCTCTAAGTGGGCACTCTATCTCTCCAGTTCAACCCAATTTTTGTCATTGTCGACTTGAGTACACATCCTTGCAGCGTTCCAAGCCTTAATCCCGTAACTCCAGAATAAAGGTTGCTAGTTTCTGAAGGCAAAGCCGATTGCTCCTTTACTGCTACCAGGGCCTGCTCTTCCTGATGTTACTGTCCTGGTAGGTCACAAAAAAAATGGTATTACGGACTGCAGCATGATATCTAATAGAAAATTCAGTGTATTGAGACAAAATAAATATAATGACCTTCCTTTTTTTTTTTTCCTAGTAACTACATGTATTGCTTAACATGCTGCAGAGTAAAAGCCTGTGCTTCATGGTTGTATCACAAATATTCTGTCTCATTTTCTTACAGTCTTTATGGCAGACACATGCAGGCAAACCCTGAACCTCCAAAGAAGAACAATGACAAGTCAAAGAAGATCAGCCGTAAGCCTCTGGCAGCCAAAAACAAATAAGTCCCTGGCTTGTGCCGCTGTTTTTATCTCTTTTACATTGCTTTTGCATGTGCCTATAATATTCCTACGCATCTCCTGTTACTCATAAGAAAGCAGACACTAGAGGTAAAAACAATTTACTATGTATACTGCTTTAGAAGATACTGCTTAAGGAATACAAAATTACATACTCACCTAATTATGGTCACATTTATATACCATTTAATATATCACTGTCAAACACATTTTAGCTTTTCTATTTATATGTATGTTAATGTCTTCTCTTCACATGTATCACGTCCTGTTAATAGCAGGGGGTTTGCACCTATGTTATATGATATTAAATTTCATATAATATTCCAAGTTATTTTAATAAAGGTCTTTATTTGTATTGTGTTTCAATTTCTTCAGTAGGACTTCTGAATAGTGAATTGCTTGAGGAACGTATGATTCCAGTTTCCTATGATGTGTTAATTTCTTGTGTAGGAATGTGATAGCATTTTCTCTGATACAAGTTAGTATCAGATACAAGCATTCTGTTCAACAGGTGAAAAATTTTAATCTGTTTCTGTTTCTATTTTTTACATTGCTATGGCCTGCTTTTTTGCCTTGAAGGTTATTTTGAAATCGAGGAGTAGAGGAAATGAGAGAGAAAAGAAAAAAACCTGTCTTTATAAAGAGCTGCCAATTGCCAGCCTCAGTTTGGGGAAAGAGAACTTTCGCTTTTGAAGAAAATGGTATTTCTGCCAATTTTGTAAGTGATTTTCTTTTTTTTAGGCAGAAAACCCAAATAATGTATTTAATCTCTGCCGTGAAAGTACTTGTATTGAAGAGATGTTCCAAATGCTTTTGAAAGTGCCACAGGTCTTATATTTATCTGTACAAAGCCGGCAGGCACCACAACCAAGCTCAGAAGCCGCAAATTGTTTAACATCTGAAATAGCTTCAGGTCTTACCAGCGGGGAAGAAAAACCTGAAATCTTCAGACAGTGATTTCCAAACCATTTTAGTCTTAGCAGAGCAAAAGCTAACCAGGAGTCTCGAGGAGCAAGAACAGACATTCATACCATACCTAGATCACCCTTGTTGGGACCTTCCTGCCCTTGATTTCCGATTTCATTAATTTCATACCTGAGCAACCCATTGCTGAATTTCGGCTCCATCTGGGCAGCAAGCCAGGAAACATGCTCAGACTGCCGAAACAGGCCTGTTGTGTTCCGTGAGAGCAGAAGAGGTTTTAAATATCTCATGCTAGAAACGACACTTTCTACAAAAGCTGTTTTGTATCTGAAGGCTCTGTTATCTGTACCAGCCTCTCGATCGCATTTAGGATTACCCCAGCGTTTAAGTAATACATGGTTGCCTTAGTCTGGGAAGAAATGTATTTACATATATTTTGCAACAGATTTTTTGAATTGGCAAGCAGGGCTAGGAAGTTGGCATCAAGCTTTAGACACATTTTAAGTGGCCTTTGGTACTTCAGAAGAATGAGGCAGTCTTGGTAGGCAGGTGGAAAACAGTAAAAATGGTAGACTTGTCAGGAACAGTCAATTCTGTCTGTTGTGAGTTCTGCAGAGGATTTTCCAGACCTCTGAAGGGATGTGTCTAGGGGAACAGGTCCAACTGAGACAGGCCCGTGGCAGCGCTCGGCTGGATGCATATTAAAACTTCACGGCAAAACCGGCCCCCGGCTGGAATGTGCACGGTTACGTCTGGCGTAGGCAGGAACACGTGAGGGAACCTCACGACAGCAGTAGTCGTGCTACAAAAAACCCTGAAGAAAAGTCGGTGAAGTGTTGGCAGATCCCCAAACTGCTATTGCCAATTCCTTCTGGAACAAAATAAATAGCAAGGGCACACCTATGGGGAAGGAGTGAAGAGGGTGTAGATGCTTCCCCCAGCACCCTTCCCTGGCACTGAATGCTACCCCAGCCCTCGGGGGTGGCAGTGCCCACAGGGCTGAGCCGCTGCTCTCCTGGCAGATGCCCGCAGCTGTGGCTAGACCCCCGCTTTCAGGCTTGAAGTCGTTTTATGTATGCTCACTTCCAGCTAAACTGGACTCGCTGCTCTTCTGGAATCTCCCTGGGTACACCTGGGCATGGGTTTCTCAGCGGGGTAGCAATATGGCTCTCCTTTGATTTCAGCAGGACGCCGGCCAGAGCTGAAGGCATCTGGGTGGTGTCTGAGACTGCGTCCGTCCCTGGCTTTGTGTCTTGGGGCTTCGAAAGAGAGAAGTTGCTACGGAGCTGCAAGGGGTTCAAAGCATGGAGTAGAGTCTCTAACATACAAATAAGAGCTTGCTGGGGAAGGCCTGATAATGTTGGTGGTGGGAAGCTACAGCACCGCTTTAAAATAAGCTGTTGATTTTCAAGCATTAGTCAGACTTCCATTAACTGCTCTGCGTTTGAAAGCGTTGAAAGACTCATGCAAGCTCTCCTGCAGGGTTTCGAAGTATTGATTGGAGCGTTCCTGGGTGTTCGTAACAAAAAAAATCCACCCAACCTTCCCACTTCTTCCCCCATGAAGGAGGAAGAAACACAGTTTTGACAAGCAAAAGCAAGAATGAAGGGTCTGGGGAAGAGTAAGTGAAAGGCGTAAAGATGAGAAGGATAAAAGAAATCCTAAAGGGAGAGGTATTATACTGAAGATGGTGGCAGATGGGAAAAAAAGAAGTTTCTTGAAAAAGATGAAAAAATAAGATAGTGATCTGAGAAGGTGACCAAAAACTGAAATGTATAAAGCTTTATAAACAGAAAACAAAATGGGTGGAAAAGGAGTGCTTTTCAGAGGCTCAGGGCAGAATAAAGGGCATGGAGAAGAAAAGTAAACCATCTGGGATGGAACATGCTAATGTTTTAGTGTTTTTGAAAAGCTACCAGCTTCTTAGAGCAAACTACACAACAGTTTTAACGTGAGTTTGATGATGCTATGTATCTGTTCTCTAGAGTCATCGGCTTTTTACTATTTAAAAACAATTTGTTTCGTGTTACTGGGTCACATTTATTTCCCCACTGTACTTCAAGGAAAGGAACTGCTGTGTCCTACTGCAGTGAACCAATTAATGAGCATCGCAGCTCTTGATGGTCCCTCTGATGGTTCCCATGGTCATTTCTCCAGAGGATCCATCAGACTGAGGCCCCTTCCAGTGAGCCCTTGGGTGCTGCCCCGAGGTGAGCAATTGTGTTCTGCCACCTGGAGCACGGAGCTCCGTAAAGGCAGCTTTTCGCTCCTCTGGTCAGTACTGTTTCACTGGCCTGGACGACAATGAGTTCCCTGATCTCAGGGTGCCTTGAAAAGGACTTATTTACCATCCATTCACTCACGGTCACTCGTTCAGGTTGCCTTTTTGGGCCAACCTCTTATGCAGCCAGCAATATGCCACTTGAAGGGGAGAAAATTATTCCTGTGAGAAGGAAATTTGCTTTTCACAGCTTTCCAGCACCTGGGAAAGAGCTCCCTTTGAAAATGACGACGCAGGTAATTCTCTGTTTTGTTTTTGCATGTGGTGAGCTGGAAAGAGTTTGGCAATTTCTTTGTATAAAATGCACCCTGACAAAGAAAACTCTTTAAAACTACCATAAGACTGATATGCTATGCCTGTGCAAAGAGTGGCCTAGGGAATGAATGCTTCTTGCTAAAGATAGGGCAAAATGAAGCCAGAAATCCTGTGTGTGCAGGCACCATCCACAATGTTCTTGTACTCAGAGTGTCTGTTAACCCTGTATTCCTCCTGCAGTCCTCCTGATGGACAGATAAGGGTTTTTAAAAAAGAAAAAGGCAAAAAAATCTCAGCTCTGACAACTTAGGCACCGCTGTTATTCTCTTTCTTATTTAAAACAGGGGTGAGCAACAACTTTTTGTGATTCTGAAGTTTCACCTTGTTACGTTTGTTAGTCTGGAGATACGTTTCCCACGGAGTCACTGGTATACAAGCATCTTTATTTTGGTTTTAGCCAGGTCTTACCTATTAAGGAAATGACACTGTAGCATCTGTTCATCAATTAACTGCCAGCCTTACAGCTGGCAAATCACACCAGCACCATGGGCATTTTTCCTGAAATGGCAGCGTGTTCGGAGGTGCAATCCAAGCCAGTGCTCCTCTCCTCTCTCTCTCCTCTCTCCTCTCTTCCCTCCCCTCCCTCTGGTACCCTGTGTCCTCCCCATCCTCTGGGCTCTCCCCACCACGCTGCCATGGCCAGGACCAGGTGCTGGGCTCTTGGAGGAGCCGGGGAGAGGGAGAAACCTTCCTTCTGCTCTGCCAGCCCCGCTGCTCCCTCTCAGGGAGCAGAGTGAGCTCAGGAGGCATTTCCAGCCCCTGGCTCATGGCTCAGTGCTGGCATGAAGGCTGGGAGGGCGAGTCTGTGCCCTCCCCGCTCATGCCGAGCAGCAGGAGCTCCGGAGACGGGTAATATTTTCAGTCTGGAGCGGGTGGTAACTGTTAATATCCTCATGACAACCAGGAGGAGTGAGATTTTCATCGGTTATATTAGTTGTTAATTTTGTAAATATTAACAATTTCTAGGATTATGGCACAGGATGTGAGCTGTCAACTTGCTTTATTTTCGTCCTACTCCTCCTTGCAATGACACATCTTTTATATTCCCGGATTCCTGCCATGTGTTTGTTGCCTCGCGCTGACACCGGGGCTGGCAGATGTTCTGGGATGAAACCATGATAACCTCCCAAAAGTTAGATTTTCTTCCCCTGCTGGGTACTTCGTTTCCTCTGACCTAAGGAGAAGTAATTTGCCTGCAAAGCACAGTGATTTATAACTGCCTGCGGCTGGTT